ATGTATAGGGGGAGGGGGGGCCGAGAGGCTGCTTTTGTCTGCTGTTCGGCAGCCTGTTGCTCAGGGGAGGGGGCAGCCTGTTGCTGGCCGGGGGGTCAGGGGGGGCAGCGGGCGTGGGGAGGCACTTTTCCTCTGCCCGGCAGCTCTGCGGGACCCCAGTCGGAGCCGGCCCGAGGAGGAGGAGGATCCTAGGACCCAGGTGAGCGAGCCCCGGGAATGCTGCTGCGCATGTGCGGGAGTTGCCTCACCCCGTTCGTATCTAGGGATCCGACGTAAGTCGGATCCACGTAAGTCGGGGACTGCCTGTATTGACTTCAATTTTCATCTGCTTAGGTTTAAGTATCCATTCTCCAGATACTTAATGATGCTGTGTCTCTCATTCTCCTCCCTTTTTCTTTCTCTCACCTCTCCTATTTATTTCAAGTTTTCATATCCCCAACTCAGAACTCCAGTCATCTGAAGAAGTGGGCTGTGCCCAGGGAAGCTCATGATACCATCTATAAAGTGCTACCAGACCATTTGTTGTTTTTTCATACAGGAACTGACTACAGAAAACAATATTCCTAAAGGACAGACCTCAATAACTGCATTTCTTGTTGTTTAGTAAACTTCTGTTTTGTCTTTAAGTTATCCCAGACATCCTGTTCTCTGTTTTCTCCCATTAACCTCTTGACTATGTATATAAAGAAGGCTGCAAAATACCTGATGTGTACAAGGGAACAAAGCCTTGAAAACCAAAGCTTAAATACAAAAGGCGAGGAAAGAAAAAAAATCAGATAATGAAGTCACTGCTATAGGCTCCTGCTGGAGTCTATGGACTGGGGAAGGAGGCTAAGCCTATAGCCCAAATGAAAGGACTTTCCATGGGGTTCAGAGGTGATGAAGGTCCATGTACTCTCACAGCTGCATCCTATGGGAAGGCAGGAAGGAAAAGAAATGCTGATATATGCAAAGCTTAGGCCCCCAATTTCAGGGGAAGTTATAACCCCATAAGCATAGGAAAAGATGATGTACAACTCCAGGAATCCAGACTACTGCTTTCTTCCTCATTGCTGCTATGCCCACAACCTGTCCACCTAGACCAGTGATCTCCAACCTTTTTACACCATAGATCACTTTTTGAATCTCAGAACAGGCAAAGATCTACCACCCCGCCCCTTCCTTGAAGCCCCACCCTCTCTATTCTCCTCCTGTCCATCATTTGCTATCCCCAGCCCTTACTTACACTCTGAAACAGTTTATTTTTAAATTATGCGATATATAAAATTAAAAATCACCTGTTTATAGTTATGAAATAAATGGTCTTTTTTAAATTCATGCTATTTAAATCTAAAATGAAGTATTTATAATTGTACATTTTGTGGGGACAGAGTTCTGTGGCTGGGGGCAGGGAATAGGGTACTAGGAGAGCAGAGGACAGGGTTCTGTAGCAGGGGGCAGGGTGCCAATGGGGTCAGAGTTCGGGGAGTGGGGAGGAGACAGGGGACAGAGTTCTGTAGCTTGGGACA